CCTCCCAGCACTGAGGGGCTGCTGGGGCCCCCCACTGGTCCCAGACACCAGCTCCTGCAGTCCTGCTCAGCCCTGAGCACCTTTTCCTCAAGTGTCTCCTTCGAGCCTGCTACTTCTCACGCTGGGAAGAGCGCATGGGCTGTGGGAGTCCCTGCCTGTGTCTCAGGCCCTGCCTGTGTGCAGGAACAGCTTACTCCTCCCTGTGTGCAGGAAAGGAAGGAGGGTTGACTGCAAGGCGGGTTACCCGGCACCCAGGAGGGAGCTGGTCACTAGTGGGGTGCATGGTCCCCTGAGCTGGGATCCAGTGTGTTCCCAGCAGGGAGAGGGGCTGCTGCCAGGTGTCTGTGGATGGGGCAGGAGCAGCCTGGTCAGCAGCAGCAGGAGTGGAGCCTCCAGCATGGACATAGTGGCCTTGACTGTGGGTTGTGGGTGGGGTGGGCAGCAGCTGCTGGAAGGGCAGCCCCAGGGTTGGGGCTCCAGCTGGAGCTGAGCACTTAGTGCCAGGCAAAGCCTGGGGTGCTGGAGGGAGCAGAGCTGGGGCCACGGGCTGTGGTGAGGGGCCTGGGGCTGCCACAGCAGCACCCAGGGAGGGAAGGAGCACCCTGGGACCCTGGGGAAAGGCCCCAGTCCCCTGTTCTGCAGAGGAAATGCCTTTCAGCTCCTCCAAGGAGGTAAAAAGCCCCTGTGGTGGCAGCTGGACGACTCCAAGGCTGCCCCAGACTCTTCCCTGCATCACACCTTGAAACACAGGACTGGGTTGAGCTGCCAGAGCTTCCAGTGCCAGGAGCAGAGGCTGTGGCTGAGGAAAGGTGTCTGCTCAGCCCCGTTCCAGCCGTGGCTGTTCCGTTCTGTGCACAAACTGAATTATGAAGCCACACTCCAAGGAAAAGGGAAGCAGGAGCTGCACAGCAGTTTCACACCCTGGGGCTTGTCAGAACACCCTACGTGACAAAACACAGCCACTGCCACAGTTTCTGCAAAATCCACTGATTCCACATTAAAAGAACTTTATTTTTGGAAGATTACTCTCATTTGTTTGGGTTTTTTTTAAACCACATGGGGATCTGTGGTGGGATGGTACACTGTCTCTTGAAACATGCCATATAGATTTCTGAATAAATAAAGCTACAAAGCCCAAGTTATGTACAAAGATCTTAGGCAAAGATATTATGTTTACAAACCTATGTACAATAAAACAAATGTAAACAGTCAAATGCAGCAGAGGATGCACAGGAAAAGGAGGATCATAGGAATCCGAAGGGCAAGGGGGGCATTTCCCACTGGGCTTCTGCTGGAGCCAAGGGTTTTTCTCAGCACTTGTAAATAAACTGACTTGGGGCTGCAGAGCCAACTGAATGTGACGGACGAGACCAGGAATGACGATTTCTAAACCCACAGATCAAACCCTGGCTGTGTTCGCTGGTTCATTTTAAGATCCACTGACTCTGAGGCACGGAGACAGAGAAACCACACAAATACTTTGCTTGAAAGACCCACGATGTACACGGTCGCCCAAAACTGTCACAGAAGCCCACAGATGATGCTGTAAAATTCAGTTGTGTGTTACAGAGATCAGAACGTGGCTGTGATGGCTACAGGGTCCTGGGAGGGGGGTCGGGGCTGTGTGGCCAGTTGGATTAGTGGCTTCCAAACGCTCTGACAGTGTTTCTGTTGTGGTGTGTGGAAGTCTGACTGCTGCAGGCTGGGTCCAGCGGGGCCGGGGAGCTGCGCTAGGGGCACATGGGCACTGCCAGCGTGACAGCCACACGTACCTGCCCCACAGCTGGATGGGGCCAGGCACCCCGAGGGACACTGCTCCATCCCTGCCCAGCCCTGCCCGCTCACACCGAGGCATTTCATGGTGTGACTGATGTGTGCTCGGCCAGTGCTGGTCACCCCTAGTGCGCTGCCAGCCCGCCCCTCCCTCCCTTCCTGGCCCCGAGGAGCC